CAAAAAATTTGAAGTAATTTTTGAAGATTCTGAAGCAACTTTCCAAAAAATTTGAAGCAATTTCAGAAAAAAAGAACTGAAGCATCTTCTAAAAAAATTTGTAGCAACTTTCAAAAATTGACTTTTTGCGATTTTCTGAGTCACTTTCGAATTCAACTCCACAACTCGTATATGTATTTTCTGAACCGGCTCAGAAAGCATCTTCCTAAAAAATTTGAAGCAATTTCCAAAAATTGACTTTTTCGCTATTTTCTGAGCAACCTCTAATTTGAACCCCGACAACCCGTATATTTTTTTGAATTGGCCTAGAAAGCATATTCCAAAAATATTTAAAGTAATTTACAAAACAATCTAAAGTTACTTTTCAAAAAATCTGAAGCAACTTCCAAAAAAAATTTTATGCAATTTTCAAAAAAATCTGAAAAAATTTGAAGTAATTTTTGAAGATTCTGAAGTAACTTTCCAAAAAATTTGAAGCAATTTCAGAAAAAAACAACTGAAGCATCTTCTAAAACAATCTGTAGCAACTTCCAAAAAACTCTGAAGCAACTTCCAAAAATTTACTTTTTGCGATTTTCTGAGTCACCTTCGAATTCAAACTCCACAACTCGTATATGTATTTTCCGAACCGGCTCAGAAAGCATATTTCTAAAAAATTTGAAGCAATTTCCAAAAATTGACATTTTCGCTATTTTCTGAGCAACCTCTGATTTGAACCCCGACAACCCGTATATTTTTTGAATTGGCTTAGAAAGCATATTCCAAAAATATTTAAAGCAATTTACAAAACAATCTGAAGTTACTTTTCAAAAAATCTGAAGCAACTTCCAAAAAAAAATTTAATGCAATTTTCAAAAAAATCTGAAGCAACTTTTCAAAAAATTTGAAGTAATTTTTGAAGATTCTGAAGCAACTTTCCAAAAAATTTGAAGCAATTTCAGAAAAAAACAACTGAAGCATCTTCTAAAACAATCTGTAGCAACTTCCAAAAAACTCTGAAGCAACTTCCAAAAATTTACTTTTTGCGATTTTCTGAGTCACTTTCGAATTCAAACTCCACAACTCGTATATGTATTTTCTGAACCGGCTCAGAAAGCATCTTCCTAAAAAATTTGAAGCAATTTCCAAAAACTGACTTTTTCGCTATTTTCTGAGCAACCTCTGATTTGAACCCCGACAACCCGTATATTTTTTGAATTTTCCAAAAATATTTGAAGCAATTTACAAAACAATCTGAAATTACTTTTCAAAAAATCTGAAGCAACTTCCAAAAAAAATTTTATGCAATTTTCAAAAAAATCTGAAGCAACTTTTCAAAAAATTTGAAGTAATTTTTGAAGATTCTGAAGCAACTTTCCAAAAAATTTGAAGCAATTTCAGAAAAAAACAACTGAAGCATCTTCTAAAACAATCTGTAGCAACTTCCAAAAAACTCTGAAGCAACTTCCAAAAATTTACTTTTTGCGATTTTCTGAGTCACTTTCGAATTCAAACTCCACAACTCGTATATGTATTTTCTGAACCGGCTCAGAAAGCATCTTCCTAAAAAATTTGAAGCAATTTCCAAAAACTGACTTTTTCGCTATTTTCTGAGCAACCTCTGATTTGAACCCCGACAACCCGTATATTTTTTGAATTTTCCAAAAATATTTGAAGCAATTTACAAAACAATCTGAAATTACTTTTCAAAAAATCTGAAGCAACTTCCAAAAAAAATTTTATGCAATTTTCAAAAAAATCTGAAGCAACTTTTCAAAAAATTTGAAGTAATTTTTGAAGATTCTGAAGCAACTTTCCAAAAAATTTGAAGCAATTTCAGAAAAAAACAACTGAAGCATCTTCTAAAACAATCTGTAGCAACTTCCAAAAAACTCTGAAGCAACTTCCAAAAATTTACTTTTTGCGATTTTCTGAGTCACTTTCGAATTCAAACTCCACAACTCGTATATGTATTTTCTGAACCGGCTCAGAAAGCATCTTCCTAAAAAATTTGAAGCAATTTCCAAAAACTGACTTTTTCGCTATTTTCTGAGCAACCTC